CGCGGGGCCCGCCCCTGCCCCGCACCCAGCCGCACCAGGACACCCAGCCGCGCAGTGGCAGCACACACGCACGGTGAGGTGTGCCCAGGGGGCCGGAGGGACAAACCAAGGCAGCTTTCAAACCAGCTGCCACCCCGGTCTGTGCCGGAGACACCTGAGCCACCAGCTGCAGAGGAGCAGAGCGTTTCACCCGCGGTCGGACTGCGGCACCCAGGACAGCCTCCTGCGCAAAACTAACTGCTCTCCAGTGCAGCCACGGAGGCGACCACAGCACCAAAACACCCTTGCATGCATGGGGACCCTGTGCTTTGCCTATGTTGAGCTTTCGAAAAGCAAGCACCTTTGCAATGTCTTTACTGTGACATCTAGGACAGACAGAAAGCACCGCTCACACTCACAGTAAAAGCAAGCAGCAAAAGCTGCTTTGCAAACACACGCGTGCAGCACCTGAGACAAAGCAAGTTCCTATCGAGGAGAGGAGAGGAGAGCGCAGCGAGGCCGTACCCGTGTGAGGAGACATCCTGTCGAGCAGCTTCACCATGGCTTCTCCCTGCACGGCCGTCCACTTCTTGATGGGCGACCCGCCTCCAATCCTGCTGTACTGCTCCTGGATCCTCGGCGTGCGGCGTTTGGCGATGAACGGCGCCAGTTTGCTAAAGCGGTTAAAGCGACGCGTTAGCACCGGGACCCCGCTCGCCTCCCGCCACCCTGAAGGTCTCTGATGGACTGGGGCTTCTTTCGTCATCTCTCCAAACCAGAGCAGCCCAGGAGCTGCAAGCAGTCGTTAACTGCGTGGCTGGTTTAATGTTCCATTCCACCACCCTTCCCAGATTTACTAGTTGACCAGAGTAAGCTATACAGTAAAACACACTTTGCATTTGGAAGAAAGAGGACAATGTTGTTCAAAAATATTCAGCAACTCCCACAGGATCACAATGCTTTTTCTTGTGCTAATTAAAAGACAATTAAAACAGATGCTCATTTTTAAGAAATATTGGTGTGCATAAAAGCTCCCGAAAGTCTGAGCACACAGCTAAGACAGCAGCACTCAGCATAGACCCTAGCACAGAAGATCCCACCACTTCTTACTTTTGTGCTGGAAGAGTCATTAGATCCCTGTCCAAGAAGAGACGAAGCAGGAAGTCGTGCACATCATCCAGCCTTTCTGGACCACCCATGTTCAACAGCAAGATTCCTGTTTTCGGTTTCCTGCAAAACAAAACAGGCATTTCAGATGCTAGGAGGTACAGCTTTTTTAAAATTGCAAGATAAGCAGCTTCTCCTCCTACCTGTGTCTCTTGCAGAAGTATCTCAAAGTTAACCCTGTTTAATCAAAAGTATGAACTATAAGCATGAACAGCCAGTGCACAGTAATTATCACGAAATACTGAGCTTAATCAGAAGTAGACCAAGAATTTTTTTTCTTTGCAGTTGAACACTAAGGAAGTTATAAAACAAGGTCCAAAGAACTACAATCAGGTCAGTCCAGCTGTAGATTTTAAACCAAATTAAATACATGTTTCTTTAGAAAACAGATGAGATACGCAGGGTCTTTTTTTTTTTTTTTTCATCTTTACTTTAGAAAGACTTCATATGACTTGAAAGAAGTGAGGATTCTTTCTACACATCAAATAATTTTATCTTTACTTATTTTGTTCACAGGGGGCTTTCCATCTATGTGCAGGCCTGACGCACTGTTCTAAGGGGGAAAGAGAGCCAAAATCAGGCTTCAATAGTCAGCAGACTATCCCCAACAAGACAAGTGGACTTGAAAGAAGTGAGGATTCTTTCTACACATCAAATAATTTTATCTTTACTTATTTCGTTCACAGGGGGCTTTCCATCTATGTCCAGGCCTGACACACTGTTGAAAAGGGGAGAGAGAGCCAAAAACAGGCTTCAATAGCCAGCAGACTATCCCCAACAAGACAAGTGTGACAGCCCTGCGTTCATCACACACTGCACCCTGACTGCAAGGAGATGCCAAGAAAGAGCAAGGGAACTGCCAGGGCACCACAGCACCCAACAGACCAGCATCTACCTTCCAGCAGCACAGGGTGCTTTACAAACAGCAGGAGAAAACACATGCAGGGGACAGATCGGATGGAACTGAGATATCCGAGCCCTCCCGCGGTTTTGAAAGCGAGAAGGATGCCTAGGTAGTGCCCACATACTGCAGCCCAAGAGATCGGCAGGGATGGCAGGGGACAGACAAAGTCCTGCCTAGCGAGGGAAGGTTTAAACAGCAACCAGTTACGTGCTGTAACACCTGACCCCAAAAGCGGATTTCCACGGCGAGGAACAATGTGCCTGTGGAAATGCTGGGCAGACAGAGAGCTGATGCAGAAAACAAAGCAAGCCAGGAACCAAGGCAGAGCCAACCCCGCTGAGAGCCAGGACGCTCAGGCTCTTCCTCCCGCATCTCACACTCCCGTGCTGGGGCACGGGCGCTCTGCGCAGACGGGCTCCGAGTCCTCGCCTGAGGACACCGTCCTTCCCACAAGGACTTAGCAAGGGGAACTCTGTCTCAGCAGGGCGCAGCAGATGGAGGTCGTCACCTTCTTCCATAAACAGCCGCTAGCCAGGACGCTCGCCTGGCCAGTGCACAGGGACGCAAAGGAGCCCACGGCCGAGCCACCGAGCAGCACCCTGCGCCCATTCCCTCCTCCCCCAGCGTTCATTAAGACGTTGCTGAATAAAAATCAGGAAGCGGAACCTCAAATAATAACAGAAAGAGCAAACATTTCTGCCCTGCCTCAGGCTCCTACCACGGGCCAGCGCCTCGCTTCCTCTGCAGAGGACAAGCAAGGCAATCTTTGTGTCACAGGACTTACGAGGGGGGAAACACAGCGGGCCAGATAACGGCAATGCCAAAAGAAAAGAAAGGAAAGCAAAGCCACAGGCAGCCTCAGAGGAGCCGCGCTGGCTGCAGAGCTCTGCAAGGCGCCCGCCGAAGCGGCGCAGCATCTCGGAGAGGGGCAGAGGGCACTGATAACCCACCCAGCTGTGCCCCGGCAGACTCACCGCGCTTGTGGCTCTATCCGGGGCTCGGTGCTGGTCGCCGCGGTGGCTGCCGCGGCCTGGCCTCTCCATCGCACCGGGACCCGCGCTCGGCAGCTGCCCTTCACCACTGCGGGAGAGAGAACAGGACCGCGTTACCGCTGCACGGGGTCAGGGCGCTCCTGCTCCCCGCAGCGCTCCCGGCCGCGCTGCGCCCGGGCATCTGCTCCTTTAAACTCCAGGTGCTGGAACCAAAACACTCCATAAAATTGCAAGCTTCTGTCCTCCTTCAAACATAGCGTGCACTAATAGCTTTTTAGATACTGGGCAATAACCTAAAAAGAAACAACATCCTTATTTTTCTTCCCCGAAAGCTTCATTTTTAAGCTGCAACCATGAGTTACTGTGTGACAGCACAGCGGCAACTACCAAGGGCTACCAGCACTAGGGAAAGGAAATAAGTGTGTGGAGCTATGCAACTTATCATGGTACAAAGATACCTAAGGCAGCTCAAAACAGGCCGAGAACATCTAGACCCCCTCTCATTAGACTTTCACTTAGCTGGAGCCCTCAGCAAAGTTTCAGCAAGCCCAGGGAGCACCGTGGGCCATGCACAATCCCTACATCGAGCCCGTATTGAACACACGAAGCAGCAAGTCCAGACACGTTTACCCAGGGATGTGGGGAACCTTCTTTTCTGCACTTGAACTAAACATTTTTATCACTCCTGGACTCCTGTCTCAGCCAAAATGTGGCTTAAAATCAAGAGGACGTTTTGCTTCTCACGCGCTGCTTACAGCGTGCTTTCTTGGAGCACGTTTCCCTCGTCTTCAGGAGTTCATAGTCATTAAAGCATATTTTTAAGTGCAATAATAATGTTAACCATCCAAGATGAAAAAACCATGCCCAATCGTGCAGATTGTGTTCCCCAGCAGCGCTCCGGTGTGATTACTGCCTTCCTTAGGCTGCAGGAGCTCCAGCAGCAACCGAGCCCCAATAGCACGGAAATCCACAGGGGCAATTTACCCTGCCAGGAGGATCCTTTGTGACTCACAGTCCTCTAATAGGATGCTGAGCACACGCTGAACACCCTCCAGACCTCTGAAATCAATGAAAACGGAGAGCATCCTGCAACGAGAGCGTCTTTCCCGGCGTCAGCAGCGCGCACTTAGGGAAGCCGGTGCCCGCACAGTTATAAAAGGCTGCAATCTAAGGAACTTCAGGCCATTTCAGCATTGCTGCTGCCTGATTCTTTCACTCTTCAAGCGCTTATATTCGGCTTCCAACTCTTAAGATGATCAACGCTCCAAAAAATAACACCACAAACATCACCCCGAATGATTAACAGCACCCGCACACGGCCGCTGCCGCCGTTTCTTTTACGTAACCACCGCGGCTGAACTTTGCGCGTCCTTCCATCCGCACCGCA